GGCAGGCACTGCTTTGACTGCTTTTGTTGTTGATTTGGTGGTCTATGTTTTTGTGGGGCTACTGGGTAATAATGTCTTTGACTTTGATGCTGTTCTCCTTGCCTGCTGCTGAACTCCAGGTGGCGGTCTTACCGAGCTGATGAGCAGGGGTGCTTTTATTCATAGAGATTTCTGTACTGTGTATAGTTTCAATTTGAGGCATGTAAATTTAAATGATACTTTTTGTACTTTAATCCTGGTATTAGGAAATTAGGGTTACAGGAAACATTTCCCACCAGTGACTAACAGGAGTGTGTAAAGGTTTGTCTCCCCACCAGATAGCCAGCAGCTGTCTTGTTGATTACAGGACTCAGGCATTTCTGGTGAAGAGACTTACTCTCATTCCTAAGACTCAAGTGGCAGTCTCTCAGGACTTGACATTGAGCCAAGAACCAAGCATATCCACCAAATTAAGAACATGTGTATAAAGAGCCCAGCACAGATGGAGAAGCATTCCATGTTTCTTGCTCTCTGGCTGAGACCCAACACTCTTCAGACTTAATCAGAATTAATTATAAATATGAAGCAAAGGATAGACTAAGACTATCCGTGATCTCAACAAAATGGTGTGCTAATAAATCTCGACTCAGACTTTGGTACTCCTTTGCTGTCCAGAATTCTGCTTCAACTGTGTATAATTACGTGCATGAAAAAGTCTGCTGAGAGCTTTCTTGCCTCAGAGAGCTGATGATTCAATGTAATGGGTATTTCTACTGCCTGAGACTGCACCAGGCAGAGCACTGGCTAAAGAAGTAATGTCTTTATAAGGCCTCTTTCCCAGCAGGGCCCTGGGTGACCAGCCCCTGGGGTAGCAAGCTGACTTTACACAAGTGTGAGGAGTTTTGTGAGCATGTGTTCATGATTCAATTTGAGTTTGTGTATAAATATCTCTGCTTTTAAAGGCTACTCAGTGATTCCACTTTCCACAAAAGGAACGTTTGTACTGTATTATGCACTGTCTCTCTCATAAGTACAAGTAAAAGATACTAAGATTGGCCCTGATTAGTTAGAGCAGAACCAGAGGCTGTAAGCAAGGCCAGCACGCACCGCAAACTGGTGTTTGGGATAGATGTCACTCTTAAAGTAGTGTGCCTTTTCTTGATAATCAACAAAGAAGCTTAAAGCTGCTTAGTGCTCAGAACAGGGCAGAATTTTGGGGGGGGGGTTGTTGTTTTTCTGGTTGCTTGAGTGTTTGTTTGTGGGAGTGTTTTGTTTGGCTAGTTTTGGTTTTTTGAGACAGGATCTCACTATGTAGCCTTGGATGACCTAGAACTAGCTCTGTAGATCAGACTGGCCTTGAATTCACAGAGATCTGCCTGTCTCTGCCCCTTACCCTCTGGAGTGCTGGGATGAAAGGCGTGAGTCCCTATGCCTGGCCTGTTTTTGGTTTTTTGTTGATGGTGTTTTGGTTTTTTTAAGTGTGTTTAAACTGTAGAAAGATTGGCCTCTAATATCAAACATCAACAATGTGGTATTACTGTTAAAGGGGACCTGCGAGCTTTTAGACAAGTAATACCATGGCCTTTTTAGTGTGTGCAGAAACAATAGTTTCTTCACTTTAATGTATCTTCTACTTCTCAAAGTATCTTCATACCTCTTGGGTCTTTTGGTCCATACTGCAGCTCAGTTTCTTTTTTTTTTTTTTTAAGATTTATTTATTTATTTAGCATACAGTATTTTGCCTACATGTATGTCTGCAGGCCCGAAGAGGGCACCAGGTCTCATTATAGATGGTTGTGAGCCACCATGTGGTTGCTGGGAATTGAACTCAGGACCTTTGGAAGAGCAGTCAGTGCTCTTAACCTCTGAGCCATCTCTCCAGCTCGCAGCTCAGTTTCTTTTGCAGTTAGTTCCTTTATATTTTTCAGTTTACAGAAATTAAATCTTAGTCTCCTAGATGTTTATATGGAAACCAGCTGTTGCTTATATAGCTCAAAATCATAACGGTTAGATTAGTCTACATTCTATTTGACTATATTTTGATTTTTTAAAAAGATTTTGTTTTACGTGTGTGTGTGTGTGTGTGTGTGTGTGTGTGTGTGTGTGTGTGTGTGTGTGTGTGCGCGTGTGAGAGAGAGAGAGATGGGGGAGGCCAGAAGAGGTGTCACATCCCCTGGAACTGGAGTTACAGGCAGTTGTGAGCTGCTTCATATGGGTGCTGGGAACTGAACCCAGGGCCTCTTAACCACTGAGCCAACTCTCCATTCCGTATTTTAATATTTATTTTCTAATAAAAGCTTGGTCAAAGAATAATTGAAATCTAGAATGTATCTATCCCTTCCCAAAATGTCCTTGTGTCATACCTTTCCCTCTGCCTGTCCCTCAAAAGCAATTGACCTGCTTTATCTACCTCTCGAGCAGTCTGCATCTTTTACCTGTAGTTTTCAGTAGATTTTGGGAAGGATCAGTGGGACCATTCAAAATAGTGATGTTCTTGTTGCTTGAATCCAAGTGACATTAAAATGAAATGGGACAAAGACCTTTGATACCCAGAGCTTTAATGGAAGTTCTAGCACTTAATAAAAATGATGAGAGCTGAAGGTCATTGACTGCCAGTTATATGTACCAGATATTGTTCAAGCTTTTAGTTTGGTTTTTCTTCTTTCTTCTAACTTTTTGTGAGAGAGTTTTCTCTGTAGCTCTGGCTGTCCTGATACAAACTATGTAGACCAGACTACAACTCAGATCACCTGCCCCTGCCTCCCACGAGCTGGGATTAAAGGCGTGCATGTGCCACCACAGCTGTTTGTTCTTTATTAAAATTTTTATGACCACCTATAAGGCAGGCACAGTCTCATGTTACAAAGTAGGAGACCAGAACATGGTAAAATTTCTTGTCCAAGAGTTGGAAAGATGTCTCAGCAGTTAGAAGCACTTGCAGAGGCCCCGGGTTCAATTCCCAGCACCCACGTGCTGACTTGCAACCATCTGTAACTCCAGTTGAAGGAAATCTGGTGTCTTCTGACCTCTGAAAGTACCAGGCTCCTACATGGTGCACAGATATACATGCAAGCAAAACACTCATGCACATAAAATAATTTAATAATCGAAAGAAAAAAGTTGCTGGCCCAAGGCACACATCTAAAGGTAATAAATTTACACCCAGACAGTATGACTTAAAGCCTCCACTGCCTCCCAGATAGAACTGAGAACCCCAAGCCTTCTATTAACCTTAACACCAATATGATGAAACAGCACATAATTGAGTTAACTAATCATGTTGAATGGCAACTGTTTACCTTCAGCCTGAACCTGATTTGGAGGTGTGGTCACTGAAGCTTTAGTCCCAAACCAAGTGTCTTTCTACTGCTGCTTCTGGAATCAAAACCGTTTCTTAATGATTGGTTTAATTTTACCTGTGTGTTCATTGTTTGGTTTATCTTGTTTGAAATCAGTCTGATCCATAAAGGTATAGCGTTTTCTGTTTTCTGGAAGCCTTTTAAGACTTTGCCTAAATTTTTGTTTTCTAGATGATCCAGACCCTGATGATGGATTCAATTATAAACAGATGATGGTTAGAGATGAGCGGAGGTTTAAAATGGCAGACAAGGATGGAGACCTGATTGCCACAAAGGAGGAATTTACCGCTTTCCTGCACCCTGAGGAGTATGACTACATGAAAGACATAGTTGTGCAGGTAGGTAGGCAAGACCAAGGATTCCCAACAGCAACTCAGCCTCTCCTTCTGTTGCTTACGCATTCTGCTTAAGTGCCTTAGGCTTTCTACTTATCTAACTGCCCACCAAATAATGTATTTTCCTGTCTCATTGGTGGTTTCATAAAGTGAGAATAAGAGGCTGTCTTGAGTGTTGTTCAGAAGCCAGGTAATTCAGTAACAGCGCAGACTCATCTCCCATTAGTGAGAGCTCAGTGTGACCAGGGTTACAACCTTTAGTTATTTGATAGTGTCCTCCAAGAACTCATAGTTATTATAGGCAGAAGCATAAGTAATGGCTAATAGTTAACAGTTTTCTAATTAGAAGAACATGAGTTCCCTCCCTTTGTTTTTTGTTTTGTTGGATTTGGGGTTGTTGGATTTGTGTGCATTTGGGGTTGGCTAGCTAACTGGCTTGGAGATTGACTATCACTCCATATCCCTGGCCTGGGATTTGCTATGTAGGTCTATATATAGACCTTCAACTTGGGGTGGGCATTATATGCTCTGATCCTTCTGTCTCTAGCACCCACAAAGCTGGGTTGCATGTATGTGCTATCTTCCCTGCTTTTAACCATACATACCATACTGTATGTGCTATCTTCCCTGCTTTTAACCATACATACCATACTGTCTTTTGGAAAATTCAGTTAGAGACCAACAGTCTTTTTGTTCTTTTCTATTTAGGAAACAATGGAGGATATAGACAAGAATGCTGATGGTTTCATTGATCTAGAAGAGTATATTGGTAAGTCTCCTGTTTCTAGTGTCCTTAAATACTGAGATGCTTGAGAAGTTGTAATCATCCATAGAAACAGTTGGCCTAATGGGTCAATTCTTTTTTGTTTGTTTGTTTTGTTTTGTTTTGTTTTTGTTTTTCGAGACAGGGTTTCTCTGTGGTTTTGGAGGCTGTCCTGGAACTCGCTCTGTAGACCAGGCTGGCCTCGAACTCACAGAGATCCGCCTGTCTCTGCCTCCCGAGTGCTGGGATTAAAGGCATTCGCCACCAATGCCCGGCTGCAAAACATACTTTTAATGCACATGTTTTGGCATATTGAGACAGGGTCTTACAGTGTTGCTCAGGCTAGCCTTGAATTTGTAACTGTTTGTGTTGTTGTAGATCTGCTCCTGGTATTAATACCTTAACAAATGAGTAGTTTGGCTATTTTGTCCCATTCTGCTGGTTGTCTCTCCCCTTTATTGAGTGTTTCCTTTACTGTACAGAAGCGTTGTAGTTTTGTCTGTTTTTACTTTGTTGTTTGTGTTTTGGCATCTTAAACAAAATACCCTTATCTGTACTTATGTATTCCTCTGCTGATCTTACCGTGTACTTTCGCATTTGTGTCTGATTTATTCAGTCTTTTACACCGTTTGTTTGCTGGAGAGTTCTCCTTTCTTTGTTGGAAGCCCGTGGCTACAGATATATAGGTTTATTTCTGAGTTCTCAGTTCTATTGCGCTCCACATTTGTACTTGCTCTGAGAAACTTTGCTAGTGAACTTCCTGGTTTTGTTTTTGTTTTTTGTTTTTGTTTTTTGTTTTTGGTCTCTGATCTCAGGTATAATGTATTGAAAGGGAGTCTTAAAGCTTACCTCTGCTGCTGCCATTAAACTGCACTAAGGAGAGTCGCTCCTTTACTTAGATATTCATTTATCATTTCTGCTAAAGAAACTGGGATGAACAGTGAGAGGGCTTTTTGTGAAATAATTGAGTTTCAGCATGATGTAGTGTCTTGTTTTCTTAACCCTAGTTGACGTTTATCAGATTTCCTATTTCTAAGTATGTTATCTTTTTATTCTTGGTTTTGGCATTTTGTTGATAGAATAAACACTTCTGAAGCAGAGAAATTCAGACTTATCACAGTTAAGTAACATTACTTACCAAACATTGAGACCAAATAAGGAGATACAGGTTTTCTTCTGTACCGTACAGATTCAGGGACAAAGGTATTACATTGTAAAGCTACAGAAGAATCAAGAGTGATTGTAGCTTTCTTCTGTGGGTCAGTAACTACTGCAAGATTGTTCAGCTGGTATGCTGGGGTTTATAGACCTCAGATTCTCTCTCCAGAAGTGTCTTCCAGTTTGTGGGCATGTGACAGTTTCTGTCCTGTTAGGAAAGAGATCATAAAGTGAGAAGGGGCCAGTTCAGTAGACTCAAAGCTTCAGGATCTCCATGACACAGGGCAACAACAGGATATCCAAGAGGAGTCCCAGTGAGGGCCCAGCATCGATAGATGGCAGAAACTAGAGGCCTCGAACCAGACCAGTGAATCTTTGCAGTGAACACTTACAAGTAAAGATATATGGACAGAAAGGTTTGCTGTATGACTCGTTGTGACACACTTCAGCTTCCATAAGGAGATTTTTCTTTTTTTCTTTCTCCTAAATTTTATTTTATGTTGGGGGGGTGTGTACAAGGGCAGAAGGTGATACAAAGGGACAGGGAAATTAATGGGATCAAGATACATGAAAGACACAAAGAATAAATAAAAATAGGGGCTGGACATTCTCCATAGAGGGATACTCTCTTAGCCCAGATATACAGAGGAGGGTCTAAGCCCTCCCCCAAATGGTATAACAGACTTTAATGATCCCCCATGGAAGGCCTCACCCTACCTGGGGAGTGGATGGTGGTGGGGGGCGGTCAATGGGAGGGATAAGGTTCTGGGATTGATAAGTAAAACAAGATTGTTTCTAAATTAGGCTGGGCCATGGTGGCACACGCTTTTAGTCCCAGCACTGGGGAGGCAGAGACAGGTGGATCTCTGTGAGTTCGAGACCAGCCTGGTCTACAAGAGCTAGTTCCAGGACAGCCTCCAAAACCACAGAGAAACCCTGTCTCGAAAAACCAAAGGAGGGGGGGAGATTATTTCTAAATTAAATAAATTAATTTTAAAAAAAAAAGAGGGGCTGGAAAGATGGCTCATCTCTTAAGAGCACTGACTGCTCTTTCAGAGGACACAGGTTCAATTCCCAGCACCCACATGGCTGCTCACAACTGTCTGTGACTTTAGTTCCAGAGGATCTGGCCTCCTCACATAGGCATACATGCAGGTAAAACACCAACACAAATCAATCAATCAATAGATATAAACAAATGAAAAGAAGGTTTAAAAAGCACTACTATAGGAAGTAAAGAAAAAGTGAAAGAGCGTCTGTCCAGCCCCCTTTACTTCCTTTCTTGTTTGGCCCACTTCCTCTGTATACATTTCATTATGTATCTCTATGATGCATTTATAGTTCCAAACTTTATTTTTAAATTTAAATTAGAAACAAGGCTGTTTGACATGTCGATTCCAGGTCCCTTTCCCTCCCCTCCTCCCACGCCCTCCCACCAACCCACCCAGTATCCCCTCATTTCCCCAGGGAGGGTGAGGCCCTCCATGGGGGTGTCCATAGTCTGTCATTTCATCCAGGGTGGGGCCTAGAACCTCCCCCAAGAGTCCAGGGTGAGAGTGCACCTCACATTGTTCTATGGGAGTCCAAAGTCCGTGTGTATACTTGGGATGGGTACTGATCTACTGCCCAAGGCTCAATAGATTCCCTAGGCCTCCTCACTGACACCCAGATTCAGGGGGTCTTGATCATTCCCATGCTGGATTCCCAGCCATCAGTCTAGGATTCAAGAGCTAACCCTTGTCAGGTCAGCTGTTTCTAGGGGTTAAACCAGCCCAGTAATTCCAAACTTCTTTTTTTGTTGTTGTTGTTTTTTTTGTTTTGTTTTTGTTTTTCAAGACAGGGTTTCTCTGTGGCTTTGGAGGCTGTCCTGGAACTCACTTGGTAGTCCAGGCTGGTCCCGAACTCACAGAGATCCACCTGCCTCTGCCTCCCGAATGCTGGGATTAAAGGCGTGCGCCACCAACGCCGGGTAGTTCCAAACTTCTTAAGACAGTCTAAACCAAAAAATTAGTTCCTTAGTATTATCTGGTGGTTGAATACTTTTTAAATAAACTAAAACACTGTTTTTGTCATCTTTACTCATATACCTTTAAAATGTACTCATATGGTATAGGTTAGCTTCTGTTTTTGATTTAGGACATCGTCTTGCTGCGTAGCCCAGGCTGTCCTCACACGTGTGGTGGCCCTCCTGGCTCTGCCTTCCAAGTGCTGGAGTAGTGTGCACCATCACACCAGACCTAAAAGAAATGTCATCAAACACCATTCACTTATGTTTCAAAGTTGTCGTGTAAAATATTTAATTAGACATCAGACCCATTATAAGCTGGGGGTGGTGGCCCTGCCTGTCATCCCAGCACTTAGACTGAGGCAGGAGGATTTTGTGAGGTTGAAAAGCACCAACTCTTACAAAGTGATTTGAAAGTGTGACCTTGGGGTAGATGGTAGATGATGCACAGGAGTCACTATAAATAAACCATGGTGATGGCATTGGATTAGGAAGAAAACGCCCCTCAGTTTTAGAGCTTAGTTCAGAAGTGTATGGGGGTAGGTGGCGCCTAGTATTTGCCCTAAGATAATTGGGGAGGGGGTGCCATTGATGAACATGTGTGGCAAAACCATGGCTGCCGTTGGAGTTGCTGTGGAAGTGGGAGATCTGGGGATTTTTCTACATCTGTGTATGTTTTCATAATGAAAACAAATGATGTTAAGTAGGGTTCTGGTCATGATGCTTAGGATACAAAGAGTACTCAATAAATGTTAATTGTCTTCTTTTTTCTTTTCTTTTCTTTTTTTTTTTTAGACAGGGTCTTACTGTGTATCTCTGGCTACCCAGAAACTCACTCTGTAGACTAGGCTGGCCTCAGACTCACAGAGCTCGCCTGCCTCTGCTGGAACTAAAGATGTGTGCCATCACATCCATTGTTTGTTATTTTTACATTTATTGTTAAAGGGAAAATAGTGCTTTGAGTTATATATGCATGCAAAAAAGGTAAATGTATAAGATGTCCAGATTTTTCCTTTGCTAAACTGGAAACACATTTATTTCTGTTTTTGTGTTAGGCGCTGAGGGTCAAACCGAAGACTTGGGCATGTTAGGCAGGCTCTACCACTCAGCTACATCCCAGCCCTATATAATTTCTTAAATACCAGTGTTTGGTTGGCAACAGTGTGACCATTGCTTGATTACAGTTGGTTTTTGTTTAGAAATAGTGTTGGCTTGAGAAAACAAAATTACAAGCTGGACTGGAGAGATGGCTCAGAGGTTAAGAGCACTGATATTTTTTTTTTAAAAAGAGCTAAAAAAAACCATACAAGCTATTCTCTACTATTTGCACTTTATTTTTTTTATTTGCAAGCATGTTTGTGTCTCTTCTTGATTCATTTTCTCTTGGAAGCCTTAATTATCTTGACATAATTACTTGCAAGTGTATTGTGCATTTAAATGGAAATGTCAGAAGGGTTGTTTTCCAAAGTGAAGCTCAGTGTTAAGTTTCTTACAGATTAAGTTAATCTGAAAATGACAGGTGACAGAGCTGCAGGTGGCAGGTGCCTGCAGTCACAGCCCTTGGGAGGCTGAGGCAGGAATGTCTCCAGTTTGAGGCCAATCTGGGCTAAAAGCCTGTCTCCAAATGGCACTTCCTGTTACCTTAATTTAAAAAAAAAAAAACTGTTACTGAAGCACTGTCTGTAGCTGAGAGGAATGGGAGATTTGTGACAGCCACATGACTTTGTTCTTCCAGCTTCTTTTGAGTTATATGCCAAATTTTTATGATGTAATCTGTCATCAAAATTGTTTTTAATGATCTCATGGCTAAAATTCAGACCTGGCTTTTGTTTTCTTTTTTTACACACAAAAATTTAGAAGGCTCTTGACATGTGAAAGCATTTGTTACCAATTTTCCTGGCCATCTGCTTTCTTGAGACCAACACTAATGTTTTTAATTATCTCTAGCACTTCTTATGCTTTAGTAAGTTTCATTACAAGTGAAGAGGAGATTATAGAAGGGGCAACTGGGTAGAAGCCATAAGAACAAAGCCATGTTCTTATGTCCCTCTGTGCTCCCCCTCACATGGCAAGGTTTCTCTGTAGCTTTGGAGGCTGTCTTGGAACTGGCTCTGTAGACCAGGCTAGCCTTGAACTCACAGAGATCAAGGCTAGCTCTGCCTCTGCCTCCCAAGTGCTGGGATTAAAGGCATGTACCACAGCTGCCTGGCTAAGAGCCATGCCACATTCTTACCCAGTTGAATTTTTATTATACATATAGTATTCTGCCTGCATGTAACCCTGCAGACCAGAAGAGAGCACCAGAGCTCATTATGGATAGTTGTGAGCCACCATGTGGTTGCTGGGAACTGAACTCAGGACCTCTAGAAGAGCAGCCAGTGCTCTTAACCACTGAGCCATCTCTCCAGCCCTCTACACAGTTGAGTTTTTAAGGAAAAAAATATGTGGAGTTGAGCATTGGGGATTTGATCTTTCCTGATTGTCCCTTCTCAGTGTACTCTTGAGGGCGTTCCTCTTTGTGCAGGGCACCCTTGTCCTGATGGAGACCACTGGTACTGCACACTTACATAGGCATTGACTATAAGTAGAAGCTCTCTTTAGAATTTAGAACTATGCCTCCTTAAACCAGTGCTCCAACATGATTAGCCACTTGGTAAAATGCCATGCAGTAAGCAAGGGACTCTTACTTGGTACTAGTAACTTTTTTTTTTTTTTTTGGTGATACGTTCTCATGTAGCCCAAGTCAGCTTTGAACTCCTGCCTTAGCTTCCCAAAGTACCACCATGCTCAACTTCATCATCTTATTTCTGCCCTTTATTTTATTGAATTTATTTATTTATTTTTTGCCCCTCAAGACAGGGTTTCTTTGTGTGGCCCTGGCTATCCTGGAACTCACTCTGTAGACCAGACTGACCTCAAACTCACCAAGAGATCCGCCTGCCTCTGCCGCCTGAGTGCTGGGATAAAGGCGTGCGCCAGCTTCTGCCTTTTTCCTTTTTTCTTTGCTTCCCTGTCGCTTGGTCAGCATCTGGAAATAAAGCCATGGGAAAATGACCTTACTTTCTGAAGTCTGACTGTGTGTGGGCACAAGAAGGGCTAAGGCAGGTCAGCATGAGGCAGCCTTTGGAAGAAGACTGACTCTGTGGTGTGGCTGTCTGTGCACACAGGTGACATGTACAGTCATGATGGGAACGCTGATGAGCCAGAGTGGGTGAAGACAGAGCGAGAACAGTTTGTTGAGTTTCGAGATAAGAACCGGGATGGGAGGATGGACAAGGAGGAGACCAAAGACTGGATCCTCCCTTCCGACTATGACCACGCAGAGGCCGAGGCCAGGCATCTAGTCTACGAGTCAGACCAAAACAAGGTGAGTGCTTCCAGGCCCAAGCAGTCTGCCATGACCAGTGTCTTCTAAGATGTCATCTTAATTACCTTAAGTCTGTCAAGGACCTCATTGAATGACCACAAATCTTCAGGGCAGCACTAACTATCTGATCTCCTTCTGGAAAGTGCTTGCTCCGTACTTGTTTGTAGTGTTGGAGAAACCTGGGCTTCAGCAAAGAGTGTTGGTTTAAAGCCTGACTCAGCATGTGTCAGCTCTAACTGTTGAATCCTCAGGAAATTGTCCTTTTTAAATTGTGGCTGTGATTTTCTGTGTTCTTTTACCTATTCCAGGCTCATTCTACCTATTTTCCAAGCCAGTTATTGCCATCCTAAGTCAAACACACACATACATATATAACTTTTTAGAGGAAGAGAGACAGACTGACTGACAGCTGACTAACTGAGACTCTTGAATATAAAGCCCTGCCTGTCCTGCAACTACAGTGTAGACCAGCTTGGCCTCCAGCTTACAGAGATACACTTGCCTGTCTCTCCCGTGCATCAAACATATTCTTAAAGTTTAATTCTTTACTTGGGGTTATAAGCCAGCTTTTCTCTGGACCCTGTTAAAATGGAAAATTGTCGATGGCTCTGTGGTTAAGAGCACTGACTGCTCTTCCAGAGGAACCAGGTTCAATTCCCAGTACCCCATGGCAGCTTGAAACTGTACCTACAGTTCAAGGGGACCGACACCCTCATACAAACATAAATTCAGGCAAAACCATCGATGCACATGAAATAAAATACATTTTTAAAAAATGGAAAATTGTCTGAAGTGCTTAGGTAATCAAATTCTCACTAAGCATCTCATTGTCACCTTTTCCAAAAGCTGGTTTTTAAAGACCAGATTTTTTTTTTCCTTTTCTGTTTGGACCATTCATTAGGCTTCAGATGCTGTTTCTTAGAACCTGATTAGGGTTGATCAGCTTTAAGTTCTTGTCAGCATCGCTTCACAGCCTGCTGTCCTGTCCTGAAGTGTGAGAAATATGAGCAGTCTCCTTTGAGGAGTCTTGTGCTCTTTGAGATGAGTGACTGAGCCTGTTGTGGAAGCAGCTCGTCTTGTTAGAGTGAAGGAGGGGAGATACGGATTGGCCCTGGAGAGTTCACTATTCCTGTTAGACCTTCGTATGATGCACCCTGGAGTATCAACCAGTCCCTGGCCACCTGCCACCCATATCTAGCATCTGCCCCATAGCTGACTCCAAAAGGACTGTTTGCATCTCTGTCCTGAGTTGAGTATATTTGTCCCATCTTTTCACTTTTGACTCCCCCCCCCCCCTTGAGATAGAATCCCTCTGTTATCCCAGGCTACCCTTGAGCAACTCTTCTGTCTGACTTTCTAAATGCAGGGGTCAGATCCAGGGCCTCAGTCATATTAGGCAAGCACTTTACCACTAAACTATATTCCCAGCCCACTGTGTGTGTGTGTGTGTGTGTGTGTGTAAAGGAAGGATGGGGGGATAATACTTGGGTTTGCACATAGAGGGAACATAAGTTATTACAGTCTCAAGTTATTCTTATTTTATAGCAGTCTTTCTGAATTTGGAATGGCAAGTATATATATATGGCCTCACTTCACTGTTTCCTATGATTTCAGGATGGCAAGCTTACCAAGGAGGAGATTGTCGACAAGTATGATTTATTTGTGGGCAGCCAGGCCACAGATTTTGGGGAGGCCTTAGTGCGACATGATGAATTCTAAGCTGCAGACAGAGGAACCTACATTTCTTCAAAAGTAATTTATTTTTACAGCTCTGGTTTCACATGAAATTGTTTGCGCTACTGAGACTGTTATTACAAACTTTTTAAGACATGAAAAGGCATATTGAAATAATGAAAATCATCCTGTCCCTGTCCCTCCTCCCCTCTGAGGGGCTGGAGGGGACCCGTGCTTCTGAGGAACAACTCTAATTAGTACACTTGTGTTTGTAGGTTTACACTTTCTATGATGTATAACATGGTGTGTTTATTTTTGTATTGTTCTCTAGTTGGGAGTATACTATGAAGGATCAAGATCCTCAGCCCACACCTGTAGGCAAACATTAGCTCTTTACTCTTTCTCAACCCTTACTACATATTTTTTTTAATAATTCTCACTTAACTGTTTTTTTTAAAGCCTGAGATCAATAGAAATGTTCAGGAGAGAAAAAAAGGGAAAAACATGTACTCCATGATTTATGTTTAGAGAGAAAGTGCTTTATCTTTCCTGTTGAAAAGCTCCATTTTACAAGTGGCCGTTCAGGTGTCACAGACCCAGCCACTGAGCTTGCCATTGTCTGGGCAAGACTAGATCCCGGTGCTGTAAGACAGCTTGGCGCAACTTGACTTCATTCTTTTTCCCCTTTAGGACTAGCTGTTTGCTAATTTTGTCAAGCACAGCTGTGATAGGAAGAATCAGGGCCAGTCTTGAAAAATGAATCAAGTATTGTGTATAATCTCTTCACAGTGCTATTTCTAGCTCTTTATAGAGCTGTTCCCAACTGGAAACAGCTGGAAAACGAAAGGAAAGGGGGGGCATGCTTCTTATTCTGATTGTGTACCTATTGAAATTACTGTAGGGCCCTCCAGCCCCTTCCTAGGAATTAATTTTGGTTTTAAAGCAGTTAAAATTGACTTTTTTCCAATCATGTCATTGAAAGTGCCTTTAACAGGAAAAATAATTACTGAGTGGGAATTTGCTTAAGAAGTCACCGATGAATGGTTTGGGCCCCTTACATGATGTAGTGAGGAGTCTTTCCCTCCTTTTTCTCTTGTGGACAATAGTTAAATAGCAGTATTAGTTACCAGCTTGGTTGCAGTGTTCCTATCTTGGGGCTGATTTCTAAAGACCTCATGCTGCTGATTGGACCAGGGATCCTCATACCTCAGAATGCAAACCACTCTCTGTCAGGCCTCTTGCTTACAGAGCTTGAGTTCTGGCTTAAGGATGGAAGGACACAGAGGGGGCTCTTGGGTTTGAGGACCTCTGCTCACCCTTCCTGTCTTTAACCCATCGCATCCCATCTTGTCACCCGCCTTTCTCTCTGACACTAAAAGGTGGGGTGGGTAGGAAGGTCATGGATCCCCAGGTTGCCGTCCTTAGCAAAACCCCATCTGTTGCCAACTCCATTTACCCATACTTTGTGCAACCTAGTATTTTGGTCTCTTACTATGGGCCTCTTAAGAATTATTGTATTCCAGTTCTTTAACCCTCAGGTTACTAAGATAAATATATGTATGTATAATCTTTATTATTTCCTGTATCTGAATAATACATTCAGGTGGTGCTGGGTGATGGTCGTATCTGAACCTAGACCTACCCTTTGGTCTTCCACAATCCTGTTGAGGTAGGCTGCTTGGTGTGGTAAAGAGCCAGGTGTGGTGTAACTTCACCCCAGACATTGCATCAAGCTCTTGATATCAAATACACTCGAAGTTTTGACCCCAGGATAGGAGCAATGAGCATTCTCCGCCTTCCAGATCCTCAACTCTTTATTGTTAAGGAGACCAGAGATAACTAATGCCACCAGCCCTGGCTTAGAAAGGGTGCATCATACACTGTGTGGCAAGAGAGCCTTACAGCTTGTTCGGTGCACAGAGCCTAACACTGATATGAATGTCACACACTTAACCAGCGAGCTTAGTGTGCTACAATGGTATATTCTGGACATGGGGTGCTCAGCAGCAAGAATTGCTCTCATCTCCATGTACCCAACATAGTGTTGGGGTTTGAGTTTCTGGTTTAAATCAAGTCTGAGGCAGTGAGCAGTGGCTGCATGTCCTTAGGGTGTGCTCTGTGAATGCTAAACTCTCTTGAATTTGAGTATTGATTCTTTTTTATAGAGTGTAAACCAAGTTTTATATTCTGTAATGCAAACAGGTACCTATCTGTTTCTGAATAAAACTGTTTACATTCATCAGGGTCGTATCTGTCTTTCATTCTCTTGGAAATGGGATTGTGTTCCAGGCTGGCCAAGGCTACATAGTGAGACCCTACCTCAAGAAACTATGAAGGGGCTGGAGAGATGGCACAGCCGTTAGGAGCACTGGCTCCTCTTCCCGAGGACCCAGGTTCAATTCCCTGCACCCACACAATGACTCCAGTTCCAGGGTTTCTCATACCCTCACACAGACATACATGTAGATAAAGCATCAATGCACATGAAATAAAAGGCCATTTTAAAAAAAGAAATAAATCAGGAAGAAATGTGATTGTGGCATAAAGTTCTGTGTTGTAAAATGTCAAAGAAAAGGAATTCTCCCAGAAGGTCCACCATACCTCCCCACCAGATTGAGAGAGAGCTTCCTTCTCCCTCACACTGAGTCCTTTCCGATTGCCGAGGTTTCTGGTTGCTGACCCTCCTGACCTCCCGGGCATCGCTACCTGAGGCTGGCACCCAGCATTCTTTGAGTGTAGCTGAACACACATTTATCTTGGTTTTCATTTCAAAGGGTTCATTTTCCAGGAGCAGCAGGTGTAGGGAGAGCGTAAGGCAACATGTTTTTAGCGCTTGGGTTTGGTTTATAAATGGTACTGAGACATGCAGATTCATTTTGAGGACGTCAGGGGATTAAACAACTAACTTTAATCAGTGCACAACTTTAAGTGGATACATTAATTTAGCCAAGTGAAGAAGAGAACACCTAGAATACTTCTGTTTGACATGAGTGAACTGAAGCATCTCTGGCCATAGCAGCTACAACGTAGAGACTGGGAGAGACACACGGGGAAGTCCTGTAAGTTCACCCCAGTGACTGGGGAGACACACGGGGAAGTCCTGTAAGTTCACCGCAGGTGCTGGTGTTCCAGGCCTTTCTCCCCACCGCCCCTATCAGTTACTCCAGCACAGGATGTATCATCTCAGATCCAGAAAGGAAGAAGAAAAATGACTGAAAAGGAAACTCACTGTTGAGATGGCCCATGTGGGAACAGCACCCTCAGGAAAATGAAGCTGACTCCCAGGAGTGCCATTACCCTCTCCCATCCTTTCCCTGCCTTAGGGTTTTGTTGTTGTTTGTTTTGTTGTTTTTGTTTTTCAAGACAGGGTTTCTCTGTATTGTTTTGGAGGCTGTCCTGGAACTCGCTCTGTAGACCAGCCTGGTCTCGAACTCACAGAGATCCGCCTGCCTCTGCTTCCTGAATGCCGGGATTAAAGGCGAGTGCCACCCAATGCCCAGCTCTGTGTTAGGATTTTAATGTGGCGGTCTGCTTGCTGCCAGCAGGCCAATCGAGGGTCCTTAGTGAGGGCCAACTTTGCTAAAAAAGACAGTAGAAACTTGTGTCTTCTGAGAGCCAGACATGTCAGATTCATCTGTCATGGGCTTCCTGCATACCATCTCCAGGATGCAGGCCCGGAACTGGAAAGGAAGGTTTATGTATGTCATCTTTGTCCTGAAAATACTTAAAGTCCACTTTTAACTACTTGGTGCACACCTTTAACTCTAGTGCTTGGGGACAGAGGCAGGCTGATTTCTGAGTTCAAGGCCAGCCTAGTTTCCATAGGAGTGTTCCAGGACAGCTAGGATTACACAGTTTGACCCTATCTTAAAAGTGGGGGGGGGTAAGAAGCTACAAGTCTGTTTACTGATGCTATTACTCTTTTACCTAAACAGAAAACTTCGGGGCAGGGATGTATAGCTCAGTACTAATAGTGTTTGTCTAGCAGGTGAGGCGCCATGGGTTCAATCCCTAGCATTGCCAAAAGGTTCCCATCCCATCCCACTCTTTAGAACAACTCAGTTTTCTGCCTCGAGGCCAAACCTACCTTCTAGTATTTAGGAGCCACACTCTCCATACATGTGCCTACCAAGAGCTCCCTGGCTTGCTTGGACTTCCTGTAGTTTTCCCCATCCTTAAGGCCTGTGTAGCATCCAAGGTGCTGATAAAACGTCAGTGAGAGAAAGCACTAGAGTGGAGTGGACCAGGACCTCATGGGAATGCGGACAGACAGCTTTACCTGCTTGTTCATGAAGCAGTAGATGATGGGATTGTAGACACATGAGCTCTTGGAGAAGAAGGCAGGGATGGTGACTAGTCTCAAGTCCAGCCCGTGGTTGCAATTGTTGACCATGTACATGGCCAGGGCAGCGTAGGGCACGTAACAGAGACAGAAAGACCCCACCATCACCACCACCATGTGGCTCACCTCCCGTTCCGCCTTCTGGGTCGTAGCTGACTCTTGCTGCTGAGCTGCCACCTGGAATTGAGCACAAGGGCCCTATCCCTCTCACTTCTGGCCTCCACTCCCAGATCTCTGAACCCTTTTGTGGAGGGAAAATCTCTCACTGACTCTTCTGGTTGAGTTTGGCTTTACCATTACCTTTATCATGGAGGTGGACCTCAGCTCTTTGGCGCTAGGAAAGTTCACAGCCTCGGTCCCTTCCTCCTCCCTTGGGTCTTCATCCCTTCCCCCACTGCCTCTGGTGCTGGGCACGGGGCCAACCCTCACACCTGCTCTGTAAGTGTTGTACCGCTGAGTGGAAAGCCCATATCTTTCATTCCTTTACATTCCTGATACTCCTCCTGTCCTGCCGTGGGTATTCCAGGCGTGTGTCCTGGGGCAGACACGCATGCTCCCTGTCCTGGAACCTCCTGACTGACTTCTCAACCCTGACCCCTCAAAAGCCACTCACAGCTCTGAGAGTCCTCAGCAACTGCGAGTAGGAGAAGCAGATGAGGGAGAGAGGCACAATGAAACAGAACAGGAAGAGGAACCAGGTGTAGTACTCGCTGCGATACTTGGTGCCCACCGTGTACCAGTCCGGGCCACAGGAGCACTGCAGGCCCTCGGGGATGAACCTGAAAAGGATCAAGCATTCACTCCGGAAGAACTAGCAGGGTGGGAGCCGGGATTCCTGGGTTAGCCTCTCCAGCTGAAAGAACGCCAAAAGACTATAGCCATTCTAGCTGCAGGGTAAACACGGATGTCTCCAGCTGCCCTTTTTTCCTTTCTCCACCATCTCGGATCAAAGAATAAGAGGTACACCCAGTCGCTCTTCCCACATCAGACCGCTGCCCTACACACTCACCGGCTCCAGCCAAAGAAAGGTGCGATGGACACGCCAATACCAATGGTCCACGTGACCAGGACCACCACCAGTGCATGCTTGGAGTTGAAGCGGACGTTGCCAAAGGGCTTACAGATGACAATGTAGCGCTCAAAAGCCAGAAAAGCCAATGACCATCCAGTCACTAGACCTGTGGCAAACGTTAAATAAATAGGGTAGATGGCTCCACCCAGCCTGGAGCGGAATACAGATGTAACTGAGCAAATCCAGAGACTTGGAATGGAGTTTAATGCTCACGCGTCCTACTTTGGTCAAACCACTCAGGGTAATTGAGGGCCCACTCCAGTCCAAAAGTCTGGCTCTGTCCCAACATCCTTTGCCTCTCCCTAGCCCGGGGTGCCTGCAATACCTGCTACAGAGCCCAAGAAGGCCTCCAGAGCACAAACATGGCGGCCAAAGAGGAAGTATCCGTGACAGCTGGCAATGAAGACGTGAAGACGGAGAAGCTGCAGAAGAGGAAACCCCCGAGGGACACATTGACCAGAATGTAGTTGAGGGGCTGCCGCAACTTCTTGTAATGCAGTGTGGCCACCAGCACCGTGGCGTTGAGGGGGGTCCCTGCGAAGAAGACAAATCCCATGAAGGCTGCCTGGAGGCGGAAGGCCCAGGCCGGAGCGATGTGGTACTGAGGCCCATCCCAGGGCCCCACCGAGGAGATATTCCTAAACAGATAGAACTCCTCCTCTCCCGACATCTTGTGCTTAGGACATCCTCACCACCTCCTCCAGTGCCTCTTATAGATTATTCTTCCGCTGTTGCCCCCCCACAGGCCCCCCTGTAAAGAAAGACAGTGGGACTGAATGATCCTAAGCCTCCCAAAAGAGGAAGTCCAGGATTAGAGATCACTCTGTCCCCACCTAAACCTTTCAAGCTGATTGTGATCTTCAGAGGATAAAAGATTGGGGTCAGAGCCCCTGGATATGCTGGGTGCTGAGGTGAGTCAACATCCGTTTCTGTGGCCCGGAAGATGCCGACCTATATCCACTAAATGCTGCTACAGGCTCCTCCTGGGCACCTCACCCGGCCCTTTGTGAATGGTGCCCATCTGAGTGTCCTTATCCAGAGAAGTTGGGAATCGGCCTCAGGACACAGGAAGGGGATGGGGGGAGCACCCTTGGGAGCATTTTTTAAAATTTAATGATTTATTTTTAGCCGGGCGGTGGTGGCGCACGCCTTTAATCCCAGCACTCGGGAGGCAGAGGCAGGCGGATCTCTGTGAGTTCGAGGCTGGGCTGGACCGATAGCCTCTGAAACAATACAGAGAAACCCTGTCTCGAAAAACCAAAAAAAAAAATTTTAATGATTTATTTTTATGCACTGGTGTTTTGCCCGCATGTGTGTCTGTGTGAGGGTGTCAGATCCCCTGGAACTGGAGTTACAGAGAGTTGTGAGCCGCCATGTGGGCACTGGGAATTGAACCTGAGCTAATGCTCTTAACCACTGAGCCATCTCTACATTTTAAACAGCCATCATGGAACATTACAGAAGCAACTCCAAAGGACTACAGTAATTCGGGGCCCAGGGTGTGCCTAAGCCGATACTGTGTCATTTGAGCCTCTGTGGGCAGGTCTTCCTCCAGGCTGTTTCTTAGACTAGACTTTTGGAGTAGAACGGCAGAGAATGAGACGTCCGAACTAATTGGGCTCGCTGTTAGGTGACAGAGTTAGCCTCCTCCCATCACCCCAGTCAGCCTCACACAGAAAACGGGGAAATGGAAGTGGGTAAGGTCACATCTCCCAAAGCCTGCCTCTAGTGACACACTTCCTCCAGCAAGGGTCGACACCTGAAAGTTCTGTTACTACCCCACCTCCCGCCAACTGCCGTCATCACCTGTGAACCCAGTGTCCAAATACAGGAGCCTACCGGGGCCATTTCTCAATGAAACCGCCACAGCAAACTCAACTTGAGGACTAGAAAGACAGCTCAGGGGGTTAAGAGCACTTGCTGCTCTTACAGAAAACCTAGGTTTGGTTCCCAGCACCCGCATGGTGGCTCACAACTAACTCCAGTTCCAAGGAGAGCCAGCCCCCTCTCTTGGCCTCCACAGGCACCAGACATGCACACAATGTTCATACATACACATAAGTTAAAAAAAAAACTTAAAATAGCTTTTTGTTTGGTTGGTTTTTTGAGACAGGGCTGTAGCTTTGGATCCTGTCCTGGAACTCACTCTGTAGACCAGGCTGGACTCGAACTCACAAAGATCCACCTGCCTCTGTCTCCCAAGTGCTGGGATTAAAGGTGTGTGCCACCACTGCCTGACTAAAAAAGGATTTTTTATAAGAAGTTTAAACACAGGTAACCTGCACACAGAACAGTGCTTCCCCAGACTATATGGGTTATTAACTGAACATCTCAGTACCAAGCATGAGATGCCTCCCTACAAGTTACGGGTCAGACTGTTGTCTCTGCTCTTGCTGCCCACCATGACTAGATTGTTAAGACCCTGTTGCTGTCGGGCATTGGTGGCGCACGCCTTTAATCCCAGCACTCAGGAGGCAGAGGCAGGCGGATCTCTGAGTTCGAGGCCGGGCTGGACCGACAACCTCCAAAACAATACAGAGAAACCCTGTCTTGTAAATACCAAAAAAAAAAAAAAAAAAAAGGCCCTGTTGCTGAGCACTCTGTAAGAGAAATCAAGCTGCAGGACCTCACCTGCAGACGTCGTCTCTGCACGCTGGCTTTTACTGTGCCAACAGGTACCCCACATGCCCTGGGGGGTGTCAGTTTTATCCAGGAGTGAACCCTAAAAGCTACGATACCCACATATCAGGTAAAGGTTACAGGGTGGCCAGTTACTTCCTGATCGGATTTTAGGCCTGGCACGCAGACAGTACCATACCGATTCACAGTCCAGCACCTGGTACTGTAAATCTTTTTTTACAAGATTGCAAAAAACCCACAGCTTGGGAGGTCTGGGTGTACATGTTGTTTAACTGCCTCTTAAGTATTTATACTTACACACATAGATTAGATTAGAGCTGCTCTCAACCTTAGCCTAGGAAGCTTCTTCCTCAGTGCGCAGCATGAAGAGACTCATCTTGTCAAAGGGCTGAGTGACTGTTCAGTGCTCCGCCCTAATTGTATCACTTCTCTCTCTCTCTCTCTCTCTCTCTCTCTCTCTCTCTCTCTCTCTCTCTCTCTCTCTCTCTCTCTCTCTCTCTCTCTCTCTCTCTCTGTCTCTGTCTCTTCTCTCTCTCTATCTCTGTCTCTCTCTGTCTCTGTCTGTCTCTCTCTCTCTCTCTCTCACACACACACACACACACACACACACACACGAATGGAAAAGCCAGAGGATGGGGAGGAGTGCCGTGGAATTCTGTCTTCTGGACGTGGCCTGGCCATTGCTCTCATCACTTCACTGCTGCTCTGGTTACCTGCACAAGACACAGTCAAGGAGACGTCAGCACTCCAGCCAGCGGCTCTGGTTGGGTTACAAAGCAGAAACTAAAAGGAATGGACAGAGAAGTGGGCGGGAGGCGTGTTGAGGGGTGTTGGGGGGAGTGGGAGAGGAGAGCTGGGTCCTGACTCTGAGAGGAGAGCTGGGTCCTGACTCTGAGAGAGAGGAGAGCTGGGTCCTGACTCTGAGGGAGAGCTGGGTCCTGACTCTGAGAGAGAGGAGAGCTGGGTCCTGACTCTGAGGGAGAGCTGGGTCCTGACTCTGAGGGAGAGGAGAGAGCTGGGTCCTGACTCTGAGGGAGAGCTGGGTCCTGACTCTGAGGGAGAGCTGGGTCCTGACTCTGAGAGAGAGGAGAGCTGGGTCCTGACTCTGAGAGAGAGGAGAGCTGGGTCCTGACTCTGAGGGAGAGCTGGGTCCTGACTCTGAGGGAGAGGAGAGCTGGGTCCTGACTCTGAGGGAGAGGAGAGCTGGGTCCTGACTCTGAGAGAGAGGAGAGCTGGGTCCTGACTCTGAGGGAGAGCTGGGTCCTGACTCTGAGGGAGAGGAGAGCTGGGTCCTGACTCTGAGGGAGAGGAGAGCTGGGTCCTGACTCTGAGGGAGAAGAGAGCTGGGTCCTGACTCTGAGATGAGAGCTGGGTCCTGACTCTGAGGGAGAGCTGGGTCCTGACTCTGAGGGAGAGGAGAGCTGGGTCCTGACTCTGAGATGAGAGCTGGGTCCTGACTCTGAGGGAGAGCTGGGTCCTGACTCTGAGGGAGAGGAGAGCTGGGTCCTGACTCTGAGGGAGAGCTGGGTCCTGACTCTGAGGGAGAGGAGAGCTGGGTCCTGACTCTGAGTTCAGGTCCTCGTGCTTCAACAGCAGCCCTTCACCCATGGCACCATCCTCTCGGCCACCTTTGCTTTTTTATTTAAATTAAAAACAAGCTTGTTTTACATGTCCATCCCAGCTCCCTCTCCCCCATCCCCTGTTCCCCACTGACCCTGTACCCCATCCCTTATCTGCTCCCCAGGGAGGGTGAGGCCTTCCATGGGGGATCTTCAAAGTCTGTCACATCATTTGGAGCAGGGCCTAGGTCCACCCCCGTGTGTCTAGGCTGAGAGAGTATCCCTCTATGTGGAATGGGCTCTCAATGTCCATTGGTGTACTAGGGATAAATACTGATCCAGTACCAGAGGCGCCATAGATTAACCAGACCTCCAGAATGACACCACTTTCAGGGGGCTGGATCAGTCCTATGCTGGTTTCCCAGCTATCACTCTGGGGTCCATGAGCTCCCCCTTGTTCAGGTCAGCTGTTTCTGCGGTTTCACCAGCCTGGTCTTGACCCCATTGCTCATCCCTCCTCCCTCTGTGAAACTGGAGTCCAGCTCAGTGTATAGCTGTCGGCCACCTTTTCTTGTCCACTTAGAGAAGTGTGAAAGTGGGAGTGTGTGGCCCGTCCAGTAAGCAAACCTGTGTGAGCTGACACTCACAGGCCCTGCTACAGCCACCACCCAGTGTTGGCCACCTTCCACCTCTCCATTCCTCTGGGCCACCAGCCTATTCTAACGCAGTGCGTGCGTGTGTGCGTGCGTGTGTGTGTGTGTGTGTGTGCGCGCGCGCGTTCGTCTGTGTGTGTGTGCGTGTGTGCATGCGTGTGTGTGCGTGCGTGTGCGCGGCGTTAGATCTGTGTGTGTGTGCGTGTGAGTGCGTGTGTGCGTGTGCGTGCGTGTGTGCATGCATGTGTGTGCGTGCGTGTGTGTGTGTGCGTGCGCGTTCGTCTGTGTGCGTGTGCGTGTGTGAGTGCATGCGTGCGTGCGTGTGCGTGCGTGTGTGTGCGTGCGTGCGTGTGTGTGTGCATGCGTGTGTGTGTGTGCGCGTGTGTGCGTGCGTGTGTGTGTGTGTGTGCGCGCGCGCGTTCGTCTGTGTGTGTGTGCGTGTGTGCATGCGTGTGTGTGCGTGCGTGTGCGCGCGCGCGTTCGTCTGTGTGTGTGTGCGTGTGTGAGTGCGTGTGTGCGTGTGCGTGCGTGTGTGCATGCATGTGTGTGCGTGCGTGTGTGTGTGTGCGTGCGCGCGTTCGTCTGTGTGCGTGTGCGTGTGTGAGTGCATGCGTGCGTGCGTGTGCGTGCGTGTGTGTGCGTGCGTGCGTGTGTGTGTGCATGCGTGTGTGTGTGTGCGCGTGTGTGCGTGCGTGTGTGTGTGTGTGCGCGCGCGTTCGTCTGTGTGTGTGTGCGTGTGTGAGTGCGTGTGTGAGTGCATGCGTGTGTGCGTGCGTGTGTGTGTGCGTGCGTGCGTGTGTGCGCGCGGTCGTCTGTGTGTGTGTGCGTGCGTG